TGGATGTGGCAAAACACTAGCAGCAACTCCTTTTCTTTCAACTCCTCCTCCTTCTCCTCCTTCTCCCTCCTTCTGCGGAGGTTCCAGGGGTGTCCGAGTACGCTCGAGAAGGGGGGCCATGGGGGAGCGAGGAAGGGGGAGACCCTGCTTCTTTTCCTCCTCCTACTTCTCCTCCTTCTCCCGCCCCCCACTTCTCCCCCGCTCTTCTCCCCCCCCCTTCCGCCCTGTCCCGCCCAAGGTTGCAGAAGCGAGCCGCCACCGCGGCGAGCCAGGCGGTGCACGAGGCCCTCCGCGGGACGGCCCCGTGTAGGCAGAGGATCCCTCTTGCCGCCGAGCCCTGGCATCCTCGTGCCGTGTTTTTTTCGAACGGCTGCAGGTTACGAGGCGTCCTGTCCGCGATCAAGCCTGGTCCCCACGGTGCCCCAAGAAGTCGCCGAGAGGCCTCCTCATCTTCCCCCTCCTCCTCTCTTATCGAGTCGCCTATCCTCCTTCTCGCCCGCCATGGTCTGGCGGAGTGAGCGAAGCGACTCTGAAAAGACTGCAGGGTTTGGGCAGGGCTCAGACGTTCTCGCGGTAACCCCCGAGGCTTTCTCGCCTCGGGGCGCTCTCCAGCAGCCTGCGCCTCGGCGAGAGCGTTCTGAGGTTGCCCAGATTGCTCGGAAAGGCCGCCAGGTTCAGGCGATCGCTGGATCAAGGGGTTTCCGCCGCCGAGCGAGGCGGCACCGGCCGCATTTTAGGGAGGGCACCTCCCCCGATCCATGGTTTTGGCGACCGCGTGCCAAATCCATTGATCTCTAATCCATGTTTGCGCGCCCCAGAAGATGTCCCGAAAGCTAAACCTCCTCGCGTCGGCAACGCATCACGACGGGAGATCTGTTGGAAACTCGCATATATTTTCACCAACAACGTGTTGCAAGCGAGAGTCGGCTTAACTCGATCATCCGTCTGAGTTAAAAGGTAGAGTGTGAGTAACGCAGTGACGCATTGCGGGCAGCACCAACCATGCCGCCAGCCTGCGGGGGCCCTTCCCAGGGCCCGAGGGCGGTCGAAGAACACAGTGCTTGCGTGCACCACAGCGCCTGTGTACACAACAGCTCCTATGTACACCACAGCAGCCGCATGCAACAGAGCGCCAGTGTGCAACACAGCGCTTGCGTGCACCTCAGCGCTTGTGTACACCACAGCGCCTGCGTACACCACAGCAGCCGTGTGCCACATCACCAGTGTACTCCACAGCGCCTGCTTGCACTTCATCGCCTGTGTACACCACGACGCCTGAGTGCACCACAGCATCCGTGCGCAACATAACACCAATGTTGCATTGCATACAGAATTTGAGATCTAGTCCTTTGACAAAATGGAGCTCCTGTGGATTCTACAGAAAACGATGGTTCAATATAGGATTTGGAATGTAATCCTTACGGACACAGGAGCGCCTTTGGAATCTACGAGCCCTCCCGAGGAGGAGGAGGAGGATGAGGAGGAGGAAGAGGAGGAGGAGGAGGAGGAGGAGGAGGAGGAGGAGGAGGAGTAAAAGGAGGAGGCGCACAGAAACAGTGGTGGCGTTCTCCTGGAGAAGCTCGCTTGGGGCGTGGGGCGCTGTAGGCAGTGCAGCGGGAGGCGCTGTGGCATGGGGGCGCTGTGGCATGGCACTTGGGCGCTTCTTCTACCTGTCTTGTGTACGCAGGCGCTCTGGTGTACACCAGCGGTTTCTGGTACGAGGACGATATGGTGTACACAGGCGCGTTGGTGTGCACGGGCGCTGCGGTGCACTCAACCATCGTGCTGCACACAGGCTCTGTGTTGCATACGGCTGCTGCGGTGCAAGCGTTCGCTGTCGTGGTGTGCGCGGGCGATGTGGTGCGGCAAAGCATTGTGGTGTACACAGGCGTTGCGTTGCGCGCGGCAGTTGCGGTGTACACCGCCGCTGTCGCGCGTTATGGTGCGCGAGAGAATTGTCGTGTACACAGGCCTTGTGGTTCAGATCGCCACCCGCATGTTGCTCCTGCTTGGCGTCGGTAATTCCCGGGCTTTCCTGGACGCCGCCGGCGCGGAAAGTGACGTTACCTTTGGGGGGGGTGTCGGGGCCGGTGACGTCCGCTTATGGAAGTTTACGGATACCTCGCTCAAAGCTGGGGCTTATCCATATCTTGCTTTGGAAACCTGTATCCGTGGATTTGGGCAGGCGGTTGACAGGCGTACATTCGGCCCCCACGTGGCGTCAAACAGTATCCGCCCCCGTGGGGTCCCAGGACATCGGTCCCCCATGCGGTGGATCTGGATGTATCCCGCTTCGCAGTCGTGTTCCTCAGGATCTCGCTTCTCTTTGTCCTTCGTTTCCTCCTCTTGCCCACCAAGATCCAGCGCGTTTCCCGTATTTTTGATATTCCGTTGTTCTTTTTCTTCTTTCTGCATCATCATTATTTTTTTGTTGTTGTTATTATCACTGTTATTCGTCGTCTTCTCAACGTGTACATCTAGTCTTTACATGTAAACTTATATGCCGTCCTTATTCTAACAGTATATTTCCTACTGCTGTTGTAGCGGGCATCGTGCTTTTTGTTTCTCCTCCTCCTTTTCATCCTTTTCTTCCGTGCCCCTTTCTTTTTGATGAGAAGGGGAAGGAGGTTGACCCGTGTGGCCAGGGGATTGCAGTTCAAACCAAACACATTGCCACGAGAACGTGCGCCAAGAACGCGAGCCCCTGATGGGAAGGCTTGCGGCCTGGTGGAGGTGGCCCGCACGCGCTCAAGTCCACAGTTCGGACGCTCCCTTCGTCGCTCCCTTCGTCTCTCTCTCTCTCTCTCTTTCTCTCTCTCTCTCTCTCTCTTTTCTGGGTGAGAGAGGTCGGGGGTTTCGCGCGTGATGATGGATGACACGGCCCGCAGTTCTGATGGCTCTGAAGGAGGAGGAGGAGGTGGAGGAGGACGGGGGAGGAGGACGAGGAGGAGGAGGAACATGGAGGGATGAAGGAGGGACGCGGACGAGGAGGACTACGACGAGGGCGAGGACATTGGCAGCGGCGGCGGCGACGACCCCCCCCCACTCAAGAGCGGCCGAGGTCTCCGAGCGGGCCCTCCTGCAGGCGGCGCTCGACGCGTGGCGCCTGCAGACCAGCGAAGACCAGACGGCGCGCTGTCCCCGGCCGCGCGCGCGCGCACCTGCGCTCCCGTCCTCCAGGGCGCGGCCGCGGCCTCGCGCTGTCTCGGCCCCGCGCCCGGCGCAAGGGTACGTGGTCTCGTGGGCCGATCTCGTCTCGAGTTTGCTCCGCATGCCGCAGCAGACGCAGAACGGAGCCAGGGCGAGGGAGAACGAACACGCCACGGTCGCGGGAAACACTGCCTGGGCCGAGCCGCGTCGGGTGCGCAGGCGAGCCGAGGCGGGGTCTCGCCGCAGGCTGCGCTCTGCACTGCTCGGGGGCCCCAAGACGGTGCGGTGACGACGCCGTGTGGCGAGTCGGTGGGGATTCGGGGTGTCCGCACGGTTATTGAACGGGCGAAGAATGGCATAACATGATTTTTGTTCGCTGTCGGGGGCGCCTGCCCCAGGGCGGCTGGAAAGTTTATACCCTCACGGTGGCACATCAAGGTCTACACTTTTCCGCCGTTCTTCGAGGACGCCTCGGGCGACCTGGGGGGCCTCCAGGGTCCAGGGTCCCAAAAACGTGCGTCGGCGGACCGCGTGGTGAGGTTTGGGATTTCAAGGTTGTGGCACGGACTTTACCGCACAGTCTTGGGACGCCCCATGTATCCGTGGGTTTCGTCATGGGAAGCTCCATGGGATGCATCATAGATTTCGTGGGGGGACGGAGGGCAGATTCTGGTGTTTGTTGCATCGACCTTGCACCCGCCAAGTAGGAGGAGGAGGATCAGGATAAAAAAGGATTACATGATGGTTGATATCCACCCTGCCGCGAGCCAGGTTCCGCGCCTCCTCCACCTGTCCTCTTCATTGTTTCTCCTGCTCTCTCCCTGCTGCTGCTGCTGCTTCTCCTCCTCCTTCCCCCTCCCCTTGGCGATGGAAGGGTGCTGGACACACATTCAACATGCAAGAACATATATCTATATAGCACAATATCTTTACATACATATATTTATATATACATATATATATATAGATAGATAGGTGTCACGATTCGTGGGCATCGCTTCACACTGTTGCAAGTTGAGGTATCCAGATAAAGGGGAGGGAGGAGGGGGAAGATGGATGGGGGGGGCGGAGGACGAGGAGGAACAGGTGGAAGTGCGAGGAGATGGAGGTGCGGGAGTAGGACAGGCGAAGGATCGGGAAGAGGGGGAGGGGGAGGAGGAGACGAGCATAAGGAGGAAGGGAGGATGAGCCCGCACTGAGAGTCCTCCCCCTCGGCCTTCCTCGCGATGCGGGCTCCCGCAGCACAAGCTGTTGCTGTCGAGCAGGGAGCGGTGCCGGTGCGTCCTCGAGCGGACCATGCTGCAGCAGGCCGCGAGGAAGAGGAGTGCGTGAGGAGTGCGTGAGTGAATGAGGAGTGAGTGAATGAGCGAGAGAGAGCGAGAGAGAGAGAGCGAGAGAGAGAGAGTGAGTGAGTGAGTGAGTGAGTGAGTGAGTAGTGGGGAGGAGGGGGATGAGGTGGACGAGGAGGACGAGGGGGAGGAGATGGAGGAGGAGCAGGTGGAGGAGGAGGAGGAGGAGGATGAGGAGGAAGAGGAGGAGGAGGAGGTTCGTAGCCATTTTGGCTCAAGTGGGCAGCGCCTGTGGGACTTGGACCCCCCACCTCAAGCCGCACTCGAGAGAAGGGTCCGGAACGGGCCTTGCAGGTGCCTTCCAAGTTGGCCTGCGTCTTTCATTTCGGTTCATTCCACAGTTTCGTTGTTCGCACCCCGCAGTGCCGCGATATCTTGGCATGTTCTCGACTCTCAGTTGGCAGCTGAAATCGACGATGCAGCAACCTTCCAACGCAGGAAACTGGAGGCAGGTGGGTAGCCTCGAAGGATGCATGGATGAAGCCAAGCCCGCCCTGTTGTCTGTCGCAAAGAGACTGCAGGGGCAAGTCGCTATGCAGCATCCGCATACATCCCCAGGCCGAAAGTTTTTTCCTCTTGGACTAAACTATGAAAACATCAATGGATCCAATTGGATCCCTTTTCGGGTGTGGGAGAGTTTCGTGGATCCTATTTCTGTGTTGCGCGGACCAATTTTCCTGCGTGAAAAAACGATGGATCCATTTATTTCCCGGGAATAAATATAACATAATAATTAACATCCGGGACCCAGGGGAAATGGGATCGGAGCTGTGGAAATGCAGACCAATGCTATGATTCTACGGGGGAAGGGGGGGTCTTCCCAGGATGAAGAGGGGAAAGATGAGGGAAGAGGCAAGAGGAGGTGGGAGGAGAACAGAGGGGATCGGCGCGTCACTTCCGACATGTAGGGCTCAAGAGGAAATCATTCGGCCTGCGTAAGTGGGATTCCGAACTGCGTCTCCCCCGCCAAAACTTCGTGCCAAACCCTCCAGTGGGATTTCGAACTGCGTCTCCCCCGCCAACACTTTGTGCCAAACCCTGCATCCCCAGGCCGACAGTTTTTTCCCCTTGGACTAAAAATATGAAAACATCAATGGGTCCAATTGGATCCCTTTTCGGGTGTGGGAGAGTTTCGTGGATTTTATTTCTGTGTTGTGCGGATCAAATTTCCAGTGTGAAAAAAAAGCGATGGATCCATTTATTTCCTGGGAATATATATATAGAATGATAATTAACATCCGGGACCCAGGGGAAATAGGATCCGCGGAGCACCGCAAGTGAAGCATCATGCTATCCACGGAGCTGTGGATCTGCAGACCAATGCTATGATTCTACGGGGGAAGGGGGGGTCTTCCCAGGATGAAGGGGGGACAGATGAGGGAAGAGGCAAGAGGAGGTGGGAGGAGAACAGTGGGGATTGGCGCGTCTTTTCCGACATGTAGGGCTCAAGAGGAAAATCATTCGGCCTGCGTAAGTGGGATTTCGAACTGCGTCTCCCCCGCCAGCACTTCGTGCCAAACCCTCCAGTGGGATTTCGAACTGCGTCTCCCCCGCCAACACTTCGTGCCAAACCCTGCATCCCCAGGCCGACAGTTTTTTCCTCCTCGACTAAAAATATGAAAACATCAATGGGTCCAATTGGATCCCTTTTCGGGTGTGGGAGAGTTTAGTGGATCCTATTTCTGTGTTGCGCGGATCAAGTTTCCTGTGTGGAACAAAGCGATGGATCCATTCATTTCCCGGGAAGACATATAAAATTATAATTAACATCCGGGACCCAAAAGAATGGGATCCGCGGAACCACGCAAGTGAAGCACCATGCTGTCCACGGAGCTGTGGATCTGCAGACCAATGCCATGATTCTACGGGGGAAGGGGGGTCTTCCCAGGATGAAGAGGGGAAAGATGAGGGAAGAGGCAAGAGGAGGTGGGAGGAGAACAGTGGGGATCGGCGCGTCACTTCCGACATGTAGGGCTCAAGAGGAAACTCTTTCGGCCTGCGTAAGTGGGATTTCGAACTGCGTCTCCCCCGCCAACACTTCGTGCCAAACCCTTCAGTGGGATTTCGAACAGCGTCTCCCCCACCAACACTTCGTGTCAAACCTTGCATCCCCAGGCCGAAAGTTGTTTCCTCCTGGACTAAAAATATGAAAACATCAATGGGTCCTATTGGATCACTTGTCGGGTGTGTGAGAATTTCGTGGATCCTATTCATGTGTTGCGCGGATCCAGTTTCCTGTGTGGAAAAAGCGATGGGTGCATTTATTTCCCGGGAATACGTATACAATGATAATTAACATCCGGGGCCCAGGGGGAATGGGATCCGCGGAGCACCGCAAGTGAAGCATCATGCTATCCACGGAGCTGTGGATCTGCAGACCAATGCTATGATTCTACGGGGGAAGGGGGGGTCTTCCCACGATGAAGAGGGGCAATATGAGGGAAGAGGCAAGAGGACGTGGGAGGAGAACAGAGGGGATCGGCGCGTCACTTCCGACATGTAGGGCTCAAGAGGAAAATCATTCGGCCTGCGTAAGTGGGATTTCGAACTGCGTCTCCCCCGCCAACGCTTCGTGCCAAAACCTTCAGTGGGATTTCGAACTGCGTCTCCCCTGCCAACACTTCGTGCCAAACCTTGCATCCCCAGGCCGATTTTTTTTCTCTTGGACTAAGAATATGAAAACATCAATGGGTCCAATTGGATCACTTGTCGGGTGTGCGAGAGTTTGCTTGATCCTATTTCTGTGTTGCGCGGACCAAATTTCCTGTGAAAAAAGCGATGGACCCATTTACCTCCCGGGAATAAGTATAGAATAATAATTAACATCCGGGACCCAGGGGAAATTGCATTCGCGGAACACCGCAAGTGAAGCATCATGCTATCCACGGGGCTGTGGATTTGCACACCAATGCTATGATTCTACGGGGGAAAAGGGGGGTCTTCCCAGGATGAAGGGGGGAAAGATGAGGGAAGAGGCAAGAGGAGGTGGGAGGAGCACAGCGGGGATCGGCGCGTCACTTCCGACATGTAGGGCACAATAGGGAAATCATTCGGCCTGCGTAAGTGGGATTTCGAACTGCGTCTCCCCCGTCAACGCTTCGTGCCAAACCCTTCAGTGGGATTTCGAACTGCGCCTCCCCCGCCAACACTTCGTGCCAAACCTTGCATCCCCAGGCCGAAAGTGTTTTCCTCTTGGACTGAAACTATGAAAACATCAATGGGTCCAATTGGATCCCTTTTCGGGTGCGGGAGAGTTTCGTGGATCCCATTTCTGTGTTTCGTGGATCCGATTTCTTGGGTGAAAAAACGACGTAATAATTATCAGCCGGGACCCAGGGGACATGTTATCCGCGGAGCACCGCAAGTGAAACATCATGCTATCCACGGAGCTGTGGAACTGTTGACCAATGCCATGATTCTACGGGGGCAGGGGGTCTTCCCAGGAGGAAGAGGGGAACTATGAGGGAAGAGGCAAGAGGAGGTGGGAGGAGAACAGAGGGGATCGGCGCGTCATTTTCGACATGTAGGGCTTAAGAGGAAAATCGTTCGGCCTGCGTAAGTGGGATTTCGCACTGCGTCTCCCCCGCCAACGCTTCGTGCCAAACCCTTCAGTGGGATTTCGAACTGCGTCTCCCCCGCCAACACTTCGTGCCAAACCCTGCATATCCAGGCCGAACGTGTTTTTTCCTCTTGGATTAATTTATGAAAACATCAATGGGTCCAATTTGATCCCTTGTCGGGTGTGGGGGGATTTCGTGGATCCTATTTTTGTGTTGCGCGGATCCAATTTCCTGTGTGGAAAAAGCGATGGGTGCATTTATTTCCCGGGAATACGTATACAATGATAATTAACATCCGGGGCCCAGGGGGAATGGGATCCGCGGAGCACCGCAAGTGAAGCATCATGCTATCCACGGAGTTGTGGATCTGCAGACCAATGCTATGATTCTACGGGGGAGGGGGTCTTCCCAGGATGAAGAGGGGAAAGATGAGGGAAGATGCAAGAGGAGGTGGGAGGAGAACAGAGGGGATCGGCGCGTCATTTTCGACATGTAGGGCTCAAGAGGAAAATCTTTCGGCCTGCGTAAGTGGGATTTCGAACTGCGTCTCCCCCGCCAACGCTTCGTGCCAAAACCTTCAGTGGGATTTCGAACTGCGTCTCCCCTGCCAACACTTCGTGCCAGACCTTGCATCCCCAGGCCGAAAGTGTTTTCCTCTTGGACTGAAACTATGAAAACATCAATGGGTCCAATTGGATCCCTTTTCGGGTGCGGGAGAGTTTCGTGGATCCTATTTCTGTGTTGCGCGGATCAACTTTCCTGTGTGAAGAAACGATGGATACATTTATTTCCCGGGAATAAATAAGTAATAGTAATTAACATCCGGGAACCAGGGGAAATGGGACCCGCGGAGCACCGCAAGTGAAGCATCATGCTATCCACGGAGCTGTGGATCTGCAGACCAATGCTATGATTCTATGGGGGAGGGTGGTCTTCCCAGGATGAAGAGGGGAACTATGAGGGAAGAGGCAAGCGGAGGTGGAAGGAGAACAGAGGGGATCGGCGCGTCACTTCCGACATGTAGGGCTCAAGAGGAAAATCTTTCGGCCTGCGTAAGTGGGATTTCGAACTGCGTCTCCCCCGCCAACACTTCGTGCCAAACCTTTCAGTGGGATTTCGAACTGCGTCTCCCCCGCCAACACTTCGTGCCAAACTTGCATCCCCAGGCCGAACATTGTTTCCTCTTGGACAAAAAATATGAAACCATCAGTGGATCCAGTTGTTTCCCTTTTCGGGTGTGGGAGAGTTTCGTGGATCCTTTTTCTGTGTTGCGCGGATCCAATTTCCAATGTGCAGAAAACGATGGATCCATTTATTTCCCGGGAATACGCACATATATATCTATAGATATATACACACACTAATAATTAACATCCGGGGCCCAGGGGGAATGGGATCC